AGACTATTGACCTCATCACATTGGGCTAAAATTGGTGGCACATGTCGATTTTAGCCCAAGACACCCACGGAGCCAGCCGGCTCCTATCATACGACAAAGTGCTGGCTCTGTGGGTGAAGGAGGGCAGAGCTGGCACATGCCGCTGGCAGGGCAACATGAAGAGTTCCTGTGTTGTCATTAAATAGATGGGGGGGACTGCACACACCACGTGCACTCAACCTTCCCCCATGTGATTACCTTCCCATGGATCCGGGTGATGCGGGGTGTGGGGTGCCAGATTCCCCATGCCTCTCTCCAAAGTAGAGCGCCATCCAGTCTAGCCCCATTTTGCCATGCAGGAGCACACAATCAATGCACTCTGGACGGATAGCCTTCCAGCCTCTGTTTAAAAAGCTCCAAGGAAGGAGATTTCACTACACACCGAGAAAGCATATTCCACTATCAAACACCTCTCTTGTCATCAGAAAATGTTTCCAAATCTCAAGGGGAATCTCATTTCCTGAAGTTTAAATCTGTGGCTTCACGTTCTAGTCTCTGGAGCAGCAGAAAACAAACGTCACCCTTCCTCAATATGATATTATTTCAAATATTTAAACATGGATATCATGTCCCCTCTTAATTTTCTTTTCCCCAAGCTAAATGTATCCAGCTCCCTGAGTCTCATAGCCCTTAACTGCTAGACCTCTCACTATTTTGATTGCCCTTTTCTGGACACGCTCCAATTTGTCAATATCCACACAGCCAGCTCCTATGGCTACTGTTCCAAAGGGTGTTGTACAGCTCTTCCATCTTTTCCTCCTTACAAAAATGTTATTCTAAAAAAAGACACAAGAGAGAATTAGGAAATTTTTGGCGTGTTTGCAAATCAAAGATAGTGACATCTGGATCTTTCCAAACCATACCCTTCTACTGCCACTCAGGTGAGCCTTCTTGGTCACTCTTCAGCTGCAGCAATTTCCACAGGTGGGAAGCAGCTAGTCCATCACTCCAGAGTAGGACTCAGGTCATCTTTGGACAGCCATGGAGACTCATTATACCACCATAGCAATGCCACCACAGAAAAGTGGGCTGATGTATGTCAAAACATTTTGGTCTGAATGGAGGAAGAGGTTAACTTGCCCACAAATGCCTTGCTCTGAGGAAGATCTGTTAGAAGCATAAAATCAAGCCAGGAAAACTGTGGAGATCAGCTTTGGCTAGTAGCTGACCCTCAGGGAAAACTTGGGCTTCAAAACTTAATCTTAAATCACTCCATAGAAAAAATAAATGGCACACAGAAGTGAGTGAGAGAGAAAAGAATTAGGGCAGTGCAAGGTCAGACCAAAACACCCAGAGTAGCAAATGGTGTCATCCGTTCACTTGCATAAGTTAAGGTATTTCAGTACCTGTTGGCAACCAATGCCCTTTGGCAAAGGAAGGAGACAAATCCATAAAAGTCTCCTCTGCATTTTTTTCAATAAGAATACAGTCCTCATATATTGACTAATTGTATTATGTTACAGCATCGAATTGTTGCCGGTTTATAAGCCGCCCTGAGCCCCATCTCGGGGGTTGAGAAGGCCGGGATAGAAATGTTGGAAATAAGTAAGTAAGTAAGTAAGTAAGTAAACAAATAAATAAACTGCATGTATTAACCATTTCCTGCCTTTTCATGTCCTGCCTGAGACCACTGAAGGTACCAGAAAGGTTTATGGGGATGCAAAGAAAGGGGCCAAGTATCTCATATTGATGTCAAACTCCCATGTCAATTAAAAAGTACAGTGTTCTTTTTTGGGGGAGGGGGTTGTAAAAAAGAGGCACACTTTATCTACCACAGATCTATTATGGTTATAATATTTTAATGCATTTGTCTATGTAACAAGCACCCTTAAGTAATGAGGAAAATGCAGAAATAGAAGGACAGTAGGAAGGGGTGGCTTCTTGTCTCTTCCTGTTCTGCCTAATGGCAAGGAAGATGCCGAATAAAGAGAACAGGTGGAGAAGCTGAGAAGGGAAAATCCAGTAGAGAGAGGAAAGAGAAGGAAGTGAACAATAGTAGTGGGAGAAGAAAAACAGTAAAAACTAGAGAACAGATCATGAAGGGGGAAGAGAACAAAAGGAGGAGGGGAGAAAATTTAAAAAGGAAAAAGATGATAAGGAAGGAAAAGTACACTGCTCAGAGCTATGGCATCCCTAGGGTTGGGGTCGCCCAGTGTCATATTACAAGAGTTATCTGGAAAGTAAGGTTACAAGGCATATAGCTCTTGTGGGGAAATTTCTCAGGGGAAGTTGGTATCACTGCCTTGTAGCGGGAAGCCAGCGGAAGCGAACGAGCAGTGCCAGTTGTCAGTAGCTGGATCTGCGTGCATAATACAAAAATATATCACACAGTCATAAATGCTTGGGAAGTGTTTGACTTGTGATATGAAATCCAGCACATATATCTTGTTTGCTGTGACATACTGTGTTTTTGTGTCAGTAAAATAATAATAATAATATTAATACCAATACTACTACTACTACTACTACTACTACTACTACTAATAATAATAATAATAATATTTTCCAGCAGGCAAGATCTGGGGCTGATGGGAGTTGCCCAGATGTGGCCCTGATGGGATTTGCAGATGATTATATCTGGAGCTGATGATAATTGCAGCTTCACGAGGTCTTAGACTAATGGAAATGTTATCCCATCAGGTAAAGAATGTTATAAAAGGTCCCATTATACAGGTATATGGGTTATTGTAGGTTTTTCAGGCTATATGACCATGTTCCAGAAGCATGCTCTCCTGATGTTTCACCTGCATCTATGGCAGACATCCTCAGAGGTTGTGAGGTCTGTTGGAAACTAGAAAATTAGGTTTACAGGACCACTCGCGAAAAGGGAATATCCATGAAGTAGGGACTCTATATTTATTTTAATATGTATACATTATTTTAATAGTTATACGCTATTTTATGTCTTTATAAACCCTCTCCACACAGTTATACAACTCATAACCCTCCTTGATTGTGTTGTTCATGTAATTCTCAGCTTGGGCTTTATACACAGAGGCAGCCTCTCCATACAGACAAACATTCTTAAGTCCATATTGAAAAACCGCGAAATAGTGAGTCTGCGAAAAGTGAACCACAAAGTAGCAAGGGACCACTGTATATATCTGTGGAATGTCCAGGGTGGAAGAAAGAACTCTTGTCAGTTTAAATTGGCAACCTTAGCATTAGCATTAGAGAATGCTTCTAGAACATGGCCATATAGCCCAAAAAACCTACAACAAACCAGTGATGAAAGCCTTCGACAATACAGGGATATCTTTTCTAATGAGGCCATTCACAAAAATCATAAAGAAAACAGCAAGTATTTCTATATAAGCGGCATTACATGCAACAGGCTGGGGTTAAAATTGCTGAAACATTAACAACCTTAGATATGCAGATGATACTACTTTGATGGCCAAAAGTGGGGAGGAGCTGGGGAGCCTTCTCATCAAGGTGAAAGAAGAAAGCGCAAAAGCCGGGTTGCAGTTAAACATAAAAAAAACCAAGATTCTGGCAACCGGACTGATTGACAACTGGCAAATAGAGGGAGAAAACATGGAGGCAGTGACAGACTTTGTATTTCTAGGTGCAAAGATTACTGCAGATGCAGACTGTGGCCAGGAAATAGAAGACATTTACTAATTGGGAGGAGCGCAATGACCAACCTTGATAAAATAGTGAAGAGCAGAGACATTGCACTGGCAATGAAGATCCGCATAGTCAATGCAATAGTATTCCCTGTAGCAATCTATGGAGTTGGACCATAAGGAAGACTGAGAGAAGGAAGATAGATGCTTTTGAACTGTGGTGTTGGAGGAAAATTCTGAGAGTGCCTTGGACTGCAAGAAGATCCAATCAGTCCATCCTTCAGGAAATAAAGCCTGACTGCTCATTGGAGGGAAGGATATTAGAGGCCACATCACAGGAAAGCTTAGAGAAGACAACGATGCTGAGGAAAATGGAAGGAAAAAGGAAGAGGGGATGACCAAGGGCAAGATGGATGTTTGGTATGCTTGAAGTGACTGACTTGACTCTGAAGGAGCTGGGGGTGGAGACAGCTGATGGGGAGCTCTGGCGTGGGCTGGTCCATGCAGTCAACAAGAGTCGGAAGCCACTGAACGAATAAACAAAATGATCATATAAATATACCTTAACCTTTTTCTTTGGTGAATATGGCACACGGAACATTACTGAATGTACACATAAGATGTTTCGACAGGGTTAGGGAACCTGTTTGTGTGTTTGAAAGCTTAGAGAAGACAATGATGCTGGGGGGAAATGAAAGGAAAAAGGAAAAGGGGCCGACCAAGGGCAAGATGGATGGATGGGTATCTTTGAAGTGACTGACTTGACTCTGAAGGAGCTGGGGGTGGAGACAGCTGATGTGGAGCTCTGGCGTGGGCTGGTCCATGCAGTCACCGAAGTCGGAAGTGACTGAAAGAATAAACGATATGAACATGTAAATATATCTTAATCTTTTCCATGGTGAATATGGCACATGGAACATTACTGAATGTACACATAAGAAATTTGGACAGGGTTAGGAAACCTATTTGTGTGTGTGAAAGCTTAGAGAAAAAATGATGCTGGGGGAAAATGGAAGGAAAAAGGATGAGAGGCCGACCAAGGGCAAGATGGATGGTATCCTTGAAGTGACTGGTTTGACTCTGAAGGAGCTGGGGGTGGCGATGGCCGACAGGGAGCTCTGGCGTGGGCTTGTCCATGAGGTCAGGAAGCTTCGGAAGCGACCGAACGAATAAACAACAACAATGAACATACAACACCGGGTACACAAATGTAATCTCATCAATCAAAACCCGAAAGCAGGAAAGCATAACCGCTCATCTTTTGGGAAGAGGTGCAATGGGCAGGAAACGGTAGCGAAGGGGGAAAGGCCTGGGGAGGGGGAAGAAGGAGAAAACGTGAGAAAAACGCGGCTGAAGGAGGGGCGAGGGAGAGAAGGAAGGAGGGAGGGAAGGAGGAAGGGAGGGAAGGAGGGAAGGAGGCAGCGGCGGGAAAGGAAAGGGAAAGGCAAGGCAGTCAGGCAAGCAAGCAAGCAGGCAGGAGAGAGCTGCGCCTGACGCAGGAGAGGCTTTGGCGGCGTCGAGAGGGATTGAGAGAGAGAGACAGACAGGAGGAGAGAGGATTCCCGGCGGTGGCAGCAGCAGCGGGGTTGGCGCAAAGGCCTTTGGTGGAGCTTCTGTTTCTGCTGCTGCTGCTGCTGCCGCCTTTGGCCAGGATCAGCAGGGAAAGCAGCAGCAGCAGCAGTCTCTAGGAAGCCGCCGCCTCCCCAGCATCATGTTCGCCCAGCAACAGCAGCGGGAGCCGCCCGGCAGGCGCTAGGTCGCTCCCTTGCGCTCCCTCCTCTCGCCTCTATCTTTCTTCTTTCCTTCCTGCTTTCCTGCCTTCCCTTCTTCCCTGCCGGGACTGCGGTGCATGTTCTCCCCTTGCGAGTGCGTGAGGCGAGGGGGCAGGAGGGGCATGAAGATGATCCGGTTCCGGAGCTCCAGCATCAGGTCCTTGAGCCAAGAGATGAAATGCACCATCCGCCTCCTGGACGACTCCGAGATCTCCTGCCACATCCAGGTGTGTCTGCGCGCCCTGGGACATGGGCATCCCTCCCTCCCTCCCTCTGGATTCAGCCCCTGCCCACTCCCCCCTTCCTTGTTGGATGGAGACCCCTTGCCTCCATCCTGATGCAGCCCTTGCCCGCACCTGACCATCATGAGAGAGAGACCCACGTGGCTGTCTTTTGGGGAGAAGTTGTTTACAGAATAGAGATTTGCTTGGCAACATTGGAGGGGGAGGGAGGGTAAACCCAGAAATGATGGTGATGATGATCATGGTGATATTTGTTTATGCCCTATGAGGAGCGGCTTAAAGAGCTGGGCATGTTTAGCCTGCAGAAGAGAAGGCTGAGAGAAGACATGGTGAGGACCATGTATAAATATGTGAGGCGAAGTCATAGGGAGCAGGGAGCAAGTTTGTTTTGTGCTGCCCTGGAGACTAGGACGCGGAGCAATGGCTTCAAACTACAGGAAAGGAGATTCCACCTGAACATGGAAGAACTTCCTGACTGTGAGAGCTGTTCAGCAGTGGAACTCTCAGCCTCGGAGTGTGGTGGAGGCTCCTTTTTTGGAGGCTTTTAAACAGAGGTAGGATGGCCATCTGTCAGGGGTGCTTTGAATGTGTTTTTCCTGCTTCTTGGCAGGGGGTTGGACTGGATGGAAGTCTCTTCCAACTCTAGGATTCTATGATTCAAAGATGTTAAGAGATTAAGCGAGATCAAGCCTGTATGCGTTCTTTGCATGGAAAGTTCAGAAGGGCATTTTGGTGCAACAAATGTGTAGCTGCTGTGCATTGTTGTGCATAAGACCCAGTTGTCCCTTTTACCGTATGGGAAATGCATTCTGTTGGGGATGCTCCACTACAATCTGTGAAAGATGTGGCTAAGGAAATGTGGTCCTCTCCCATTACAGAAAGTGATTGCCTGTGGCTCACATAGCCCCAACTGGCCAGCGCCTGTACCATTTCCCTTTACTATGCTCCCCATCATGTTCTTACAATATGAAATTGGGGACAGGGCAGGCGAGAAATCATGTCTGAATGTGTTCTTTGCTTCATGGAAAGTTCAAAAGGATCTTTCTAGGCAATCAGTTTTTTAAATGGTGCAACAAATATGCAGCTGCTGTGTATTATTGTGCATAATATCCAGATGTCTTTACTTAATGGAAATAGTGGCTTACCCCAGTCTCCAAAAGATGTTGCTTTACACAAGGGTAGCATATTGACCAAGGGGCTGCGGTGGCACAGTGGGTTAAACCACTGTTCATTTACTATATTTGTATACCACCCTTCTCACCCCGCAGGCGACTCACTAAGCTGCGGAACTTGCTTACTGGAAGGTCAACAATTAAAATCCACAGGATGGGGTGAGCTCTCGCTGTAGCCCCAGCTTCTATCAACCTAGCAGTTTGAAGATATGCAAATATGAGTAGATCAATAGGTACCACTTCTGTGGGAAGATAACGGCTCTCCATGCAGTCATGCTGGCCACATGACCTTGGAGGCGTCTATGGACAATGCTGGCTCTACAGCTTAGAAATGGAGATGAGCACCACCCCACAGAGTTGGACACAACTAGACTTAATGTCAAGGGGAAAACTTTACCCTTACCTTTTATGTTCTCACATCATTTTCTTACAATATGAAATTGGGGATGGTGCAGGTGAGAAATCAAGCCTAAACGTGTTCTTTGCTTCTGGGCTGAAAGCATAGAAAGTTCAGAAGGGTCTTTCTAGGCAACTGATTTTTTTAATGGTTCAACAAATGTGTGGCTACTGTATTATTGTGCATAATATCCAGGTGTCTCTTTACTTTATGGAAATAGTGGCATAATCCAATTTCCAAAAGATAATAATGAAATAATAAATAACAAACCTTTATTTATACCCACCACCATCTCCCTGATGGGACTCAGGGTGGCTCACAAAAGCACTCAATAGTGCAAACACACAAAATACAACAAGTGCATAAAATGGCACAAGAGCAATAACAAACAGCATAGCATCATAAAACCCTACTAGTTCAAAATTTAATAAAATGCAACAATAGCTGCAGATATAAAACAACTGCAATCAATATCAGTCCCATAAAGTATAAGGCGAAATAATCACCTAAGGCCCCGAGTATAATAATACAGGATTCCTAAACAAGATCAAAGACCTGTTGGAAGAGTCATTTTCAAATTTCTTCAAATAACTTGGAAAGTGGGGGCTTATCTAATCTTCTTGGGGAGGAGTTCCATAGACGGGGGACCATCACTGAGAAGGCCCTCTCTCTTGTTCCCACGAACCACACTTGAGACATAGGTGGGACCGAGAGAAGGGGCCTACTCGACAGATCTTAGAGCCTGCGCCAGTTCATAGAAGGACGTGTGGTCTTGAAGATAGGTTGGACCTGAACCGATGTTGCCCCACAAGGGTAGCATACTGACCAGAGTCAGTGACCATGCTGATGACACACATTTCCCTCTAATATGTTTCCCCATCATTTTCTTACAAAATACAGTTGAGGTCAGAGGCAGATGAGAAATCCAGAGATTGAGAGAAATCAGAACCTTCTTTATCTGTATTGTTGAAGGCTTACATGACCGGAATCACTGGATTGTTGTGAGTTTTCCAGGCTGTATGACCATGTTCCAGAAGCATTCTCTCCTGACGTTTTGCCTGCATCTATCAGACATCTTCAGAGGTTGTGAGGGACCTCACAACCTCTGAGGATGCCAGCCATAGATGCAGGTGAAACATCAGGAGAGAATGCTTCTGGAACATGGCCATACCGCCTGGAAAACTCACAACAACCCTTCCTTATCTGTACTCTGATTCTGGGCTGAAAGCCTGGAAAGTTCAGAAAGACCTTTCTAGGCAACTGTTGGTTTTTTAATATATATATATATATAACACAACAAATGTATAGCTACTGTGCATGGTTGTATATGAGATCCAGTTCTCTCTTTACCTTACAGGAATCTTATTCTGTCGAGAGGACACTTCACCCCAATCTCCAAAATATGTTGCTGAGGAAATGTGCTTTTTCTGTATTTACAGAAAGTGATTGTGTGTGGATTGCATAGCTCTGATTGGCCAGTGCCTGTGACCATACAATGACACATATTTCCCTTTACTATGTTCTCCCATCATTCTCTTACAATATAAAAATAGAACGGACGGCTGCAATTTGAATTGTGTCACTGGGCTGGGTTGTGGCAGGAGAAAAACACTTTTCCCTCCTTTCAGATGAAACACTCCTTTCTTATGCTATTTAAAAAAGAATGAATTGGAGAGGAAGCAAACAATGAGTGGGAAGACTTGAAGTGGCAATAAAGTGATGTAAGGATAATGGGTCTCACGCAATAAAAAAGGCTAGGAGGTATATTTTGGGCCGCAGAGTACTTTCTTGCTGTTTCTCTTTCATTGAGTTGCCAGGGTTATGCTTGTTATTGCCGGAAAATAGAATTAAAGAGGTGGGTAAAGTGTGGTGTTTTGCATGTATTTAGTGGTAAAGTGCTGCAAAGAAGAGTTACGTGTTTGGTCGTGTTCCACCAAAAAGAAAAAAAAGAAAAAAAAAAGAAACAAGCACCTCAGTGCACGGTGTCCATATCTTTACCACAGTCATTATTTTCACCAACCAAGATGTATGTTGTGCATCATTGTATGTCACAAGATGGTTGGCAATTTTTGAGCTGCATTCTCGCTACCTGGCTGTTAGTTTTTATTTGCTATCCAGGACCAGAGCACCCACTGGCAACAAGGTTGCAGGTCCAACTATTTTCAGCAATGGCAAAAAATGTTTATGTTGTTGGTATAATTTAATTATTGCTGTTTCTTTTCTTCTACTACTTTTTAAAGAAAATGACATAGTATAAATTGCTCTCTCCACCACTACAGACAACCTTCCATGAGTCAAAGTGCAGTCAGACAAATGTCAACATAGCCAAATGATTACGACAGACAATAATCAATATCCAAAGAATCAGTGTTCTTGAGGGGTAAAATAATGTTTATCGTATATACCAGGCATAGGCAAACTTTGGCCCTCTGGGTGTTTTGGACTTCAACTTAGCTTAAGCAGCTGATGGGAAAAAAGGAAAGGGCCTTGGGAGTTGAAGTCCAAAACATCCGGAGGGCTCAAATTTGCCCGTGCCTGGTATATATGGTATAAGTTGAGCTCATGTATAAGTTGAAGGCTTGGAGCCAAAACTATGGATTTTGATATGACTCGTGGATAGATCGAGGGTCATTCTGTGGGGAGGGAAAATGCCAATGCTGCCTTAGGGGGCCAGACGTACCCTTGCAATTGCTACCCCTTCCCTGTCCAGGCTTTCAAAAAGGCCAGAAATGGCACTGCGGCAGAGAGAGTGGATCAGTGCTTCTTTCAGGTTTTCCCAGGAGGGACTAAGCTCTTGCCTTTTGCAGCTCTACTCAAAGATAGGGATGCTTCCGTTATTGATAAGAGTTAAGGCACAGTACTCACATTAACCCATCAATAAATTGACCCAGGATTTTTTTAGTTGCTTTCTTGGCTAACATTTCAAGACTTATACGTGAATATACAGGGTGTATGTTTGAGGAATCCACTTTGAAACAGATCTAATCACTGGACTGTTGTGAGCATTCTCTCCTGATGTTTCACCTGCACCTGTGGCAGACATCCTCAGCAAACCTCACAACCTCAGAGGATGCCTGCCATAGATGCAGGCGAAACATCAGGAGAGAATGCTTCTGGAACATGGTCATATAGCCTGGAAAACTCACAACAGTCCAGTGATTGCGGCCATGAAAGCGTTCAACAATACAGATCTGATTAATTTCATTGAGAAAATTTTAGATATTTCTCAAACCTGGATATAGGTTTATTTTCAGGACTGAAAGAAACAGGACATAAACAAAAACAACTATGCATTGACAGAAGACCACTCGTAATCATTTCTTTTTACATAGTTCTTACATAGCAACTTTATATACCCAGTAGGGCTTGAGAGAATAATTAACTAGTGTTAATGATTGTTCTGTTTCAGTTACTCT